GGGGGCCGTTTGCCTTTTCCTTACCTGGGTGGGGACTCCGTGGGCTCGTGGGCATCCAGGCCTGAGCCTGTAGCGTCCCGGAAAGTTCAGAATCTCCTTCCGGAATCCCCAGGCGAAATAGTGTCTTCCCCTGATGTCAGGGTCTTAGCCCAGGGTCTTAGGCCGGGCCGCTGGGAGGCTAGGGGGTAGGGGTGGGTTTGGAAATGCCACAGGTAATGAGCGGCGTATAAAAAGGGGAGTAAGTGTGGCAAAAAGTCTGCGGAGATGTTGGGTCTACAGCTCAGAGGATAGAGAGTCCCTAGGATCCCCAAAGATCCTGGGTTCCAATCCCCGGAACCTCCTAAACCTGGGGTGGTGGAGGATCAAGAATCAAGGCCATCCCTTCCTCAGCCAGCTCCTCCTACCCGAGCTACACGACACTCCACAGTAGAAAAGTTAGATAAAAAGTTTGGGCAGGACTAGGGCTTCTCTGTTCTTAAGAAGGCTGTGGCCCTGAGTGTGAGGGCCTTCCAGTGTTCGGAAGAGGGATTGTGATATGAAAAGGCAGGAGTTTAGCCAAGTCACAGTAGCAAGGCTGATTAGTATCTTTAGCTTAGGACTTTCATTTTCTCCTTACAAACAGGGTCTCTGATATAATGTAAGCCTGGCTGTTCTGGAACTCCCTGAGTCCTAGGATTAAAGGTGTGCACCCCCACACTCAGCCATTCTTATTTATTTGTTTATTTTTAACATTAGTTTATTTGTTTGTGTTTGTGTGTTGAGCATGCATGTGGAAGTTAGAGGATCACTGTGGGAATCAGTCCTTCCACCCTGTGGATCACAGGTATGAAGCCAGTTCTCCAGGCTTGGCAGCCAGCAGCACCTTTACATTATGAGCTAGGGGTCAATAGCCTGTTTCCAACTTACTGAGTTGAGGTATACTCTTAAAGCATTCTTTGGGGCCAGTATGATGGCTCTTTGGGTAAAAGTGCTTGCTGCCAAGCCAGATGACCCGAGTTCAATCCCTGAGACCTGCATGGTGGACAGAAGGAAGGAACTTCTACAAGTTGTTCCTTGACCTCTGCCTGTGCAGTGTTGCACACACCTCCCTTGACCCCCAATAAGTAAATAGAGTATCTAAAAAGAAGCAGCAACAGCATTCTCTGAGTGTGTTTTGTGCCTCAGGTGTAGATAAAATCCACAGCTTCCTGGGCTTGGGGGTAATGCTTAGGAAAATGGTTTACTTATTTATTTAATTATTTACAAAATGTTAGCGATAAAACCCAGGACAAGGGCTCCACCACCATGTGTGTATTTTCTTTTGAGACAGGGTCTTATGTAGCCCTGGCTGGCTTGGAACTCACTATGTAGACCAGGGTGGCCCATCTCCTGAGTGCTGAGATTAAAAGTGTTTGCCAACATGCCCAGCTGTTTTTATATTTTTAAAAGTGTTGGTGTATGTGTGTGTGTTGAAGAATAATGTTTCATGATGAGGCCAAATCATATAGAATTCACACTTCAGCATTCACAAATAGTTTTATTGGATACAGCTATTGTCAATCATTTATACACTTGTGACTCCTTGCTGAATAAAGAAGAACTGGGTCACTATAATAGACATTGCATAGCTACAAAGACGAGAATATTTACCGTCTGGCTTACCCCACCCCCCACCTCCACCCCAACACACATACACACAAACCTATTTGGAGATAGGGTCTCATGTATCTCAGGCTCTTCTCTGTACCTCTCAAGTGTTGGTATTACAACCTCTGCTTTATGAATTGCTGGGGGGTCAGACCTAGGGCTTCATAAACATGCTAGGCAACCCTCTCTCCCTGAGTCCCAGCCCTAGCTCTCCCTTTATTCTCTACAGCTCTTTATACAAAGTGTTTGTCAACCCCTGGCTTGGGGAAAGAAGGATAACGGGAGAGAAAAGCTTCCATGTTAAAAAAAAAAAAAAAAAGGTTTAAACAATGGATTTGGGTAAACTTCATATTGGAACAACCTACATAGAACAGTGTTATAATCTGGATTACTGTAAACTCATTTAGGGGAGGGGAAGTGAGATGGCTCAGCAGGTAAAGATTTGTGGCACAACCCCTGGTGGCCTGAGTTCTAGTCCCTGGACTTCTGTGCAATTCCTCTGACCTCCACACATCTGGGTCTCCCCCAGAGAATAAATGGATGAAAGTAATTTTAGAAGGAACTTGGGTAAAGTCTTTTACAGATTATAAACTCATGTCCTTGAAAGCTGCTAATGGGATGTTTCTTTGCACAGGTTGGGTGAACCCATGGACTTGGTACTTTAATCTTGAGAAAGAAACAAACTCAGAAGAAAGATGGCGTTTGTTGCAACCCAGGGGGCCACGGTGGTTGACCAAACCACTCTGATGAAGAAATACCTTCAGTTTGTGGCAGCTCTCACAGATGTAAATACACGTGAGTCGATCCTTTTTGACACATTGGGATAAATAACAGCCTTAATGCTTGTCCTTGGTTTTCCCCTTTCTACCTTGTGGAGAAGCAAAATGATGAGCAATACTGCTGGAGCCCCAGAGAGGCACAAGTGTGTGTGTGCGAGTGCCTGTATGTGTGTCTGTATCCTTGTTTGTGCATGCACACGTGAGTCTGTGAGGATGAGTGTGTGTGACTGGTGGTAGGGACCTAGCCATGTGCCATCTTCTAGGCTGTGACAGTCAAACTGATAAGATCTGATTGCTTCTCTTTAATTCAGTGATTTTTTTTTTTTTTTTTAAGCCTCCTTAAGGCAGTTTCAATGACCTGATGGTTTGGTTTTTGTCATTTACAGCTGATGAAACGAAGTTGAAAATGATGCAGGAAGTTAGTGAAAACTTTGAGGTATGAGTTTTATGCTTTGCTTTTTTTTTTCTTTTTAATTATTTTGTGTCTGTGTATTTGCCTGTACATGCTACAGTGCCATGTGCTGGTCATGGGGCAGTCTAGGGGACTCTGTTCTTTTCCATCATGTGGGCCTAGGGATTGAACTCTGGCCATTTTGATGGCCCTGCAGTTTTCTTTGCTTCAATATTTAAAAAATGTGTTATTTATTATTATTATTGTCTGTGTGGGTGCACATGCCACCAGTGTTTATAAGGAGGTCAGGGGACAGCCATTGTGGAGTAGTTCTCTCCTGTCTTTACATGGGTTCTGGGTATCAAACTTGGGTTGTCGTCAAGCTTGCGGATTTGAGTGACAGCTTGACCTGTTGAGTCATCTTGCCAGCCCTTTTGTCAGTCTTTCTAAAGTTCTATTTAGTCAATGTTACTTGGTATGGGGGGGGGGTGGTGGACAGAAGTGCTGCAGTGCACATGTGAATGTCACAAGACAGCCTTGGGAAATGGTTTTCTCCTTCCATCTTCACCTTTTTGTAGGCTCTAGGTATTAACTCAGGTCTTCAGACTTATGTGGCAAGCACTTCCACTGCTGAACCATCTGTTCCGCCCTGTCAGACTGTTTTTTTTTTTTTTTTTTTTTTTTTTTTTTTTTTTGTGACTGAGAGGTCACTGATAACAAAGGCTAGCCCATGATAGCATACTCCTGTAATTCCAGCAGTGGGAAAGCTGAAACAGGAGGATTGGCAGTAATTATTCAGTGCCAGCCTGGGCTGTATGAACAGCTCTGTATCAGCCTGGGATATAGTGTGAAAGTGTTTAGAAGGAAGTTTTCCTCCCCTAAACATTTACTTACTCTGTGTGTGTGTGTGTGTGTGTGTGTGTGTGTGTTTGGGCACATACATGCTGTGATGTACATGTAGAACTCAGAGAACAACTTGCCTTCTACCATGTGGGTTCTTCCTTAGGCTTGACGATAGGCGTCTTTACCCTCTGAACCATTTGTCATTCCCTGAAGAGTCAGTGCAACTGATGGTATTTCAAAACAGGAATTTGAAACTGTTCGGAATATTGCTCATCTTCCTGGTGGCAGTCTCAATGTGTGTTTAGGAATGTTGGCTTTTTTTTGGTTGCTGTGCTGTAGCATTTTTTTTTTTTTTTTTAAAGGAGGGCTCTCTTATGTTTTCACTTGAATGCATTCAAGCTTATGTTGTGATTCGTTATGTTCAGGTGATTGCTCATCTGACATGATGGGCTCCCTGGCATTTTAGTACCTAAGATGTGTCTCTATTGCTCCCTTCTTAGTTTTTTGTATTTGTACGATTTTATATTGTCCCACAGACCTCCTAGACTCTGTCTGCAGTTGGTCTTTGATTTGTTTTTACACTGCAAAAATATTGATTTTAAAAACAACAAAGATCTTTCGTTTTATGTGTGTCTGTATGAATGCCCAGGTGTGTGCATGAGTCCCACATGCATGCAGTGTGTGGGGGGCCCAGAAGATGTCAGTCCCTGGAGTTAAAGGTGCTTGTGAGAAGCCGTGTAAGAAAGTCAATCCAGGTTCCCTGCAAGAATAGTAAACTCTCACTGGGTAGTGGTGGCACACCCCTTTAATCCCAGCACTAGAGAGGCAGACACAGGTGGATCTCTGTGAGTTCAAGGCCAGTCTGGTCTAGAGTTCCAGGACAACCAAGGCTATTAGTGACAGAAACCCTTTCTCAAAAAAATATAAAATGGTAAGGTCTCTTTAGGGCTGAGCTATTTCTCATGCTCTTTCTTGATCTATCTTTAAGGATACTATCATCTCTAAACTTTTTTATTTTTGGCTTATTTTGTTTCCTATGTTTTTAAAGACACTTTACTTTTTTGTTGTTGTTGTTGTTGTTTTTGGTTTTTTTGAGACAGGGTTTCTCTGTGGCTTTGGAGGCTGGCCTGGAACTAGCTCTTGTAGACCAGGCTGGTCTCGAACTCACAGAGATCCACCTGCCTCTGCCTCCTGAGTGCTGGGATTAAAGGCATGCACCACCAACGCCCGGCCGACACTTTACTTTTAGTTCTAGGTTTTTCCACTGTGTTCTTTAGATGTCATTTCTCTGCATCCTCCCCATTTATTTGTTCACACATTGTCTTTTTCTTTTTCTTTTTTTTAAAGATTTGTTTATTATGTGTACAGTGTTCGGCACCAAATCTCATTACAGATGGTTGTGAGCCACCATGTGGTTGCTGGGAATTGAACTCAGGACCTTTGGAAGAGCAGGCAGTGCTCTTAACCGCTGAGCCATCTCTCCAGCCCCACATTGTCTTTTTCTTTTGGTTTCACTTTTTGAACAACCAGACATTTTTTTTTAAAATTTATTTATTAGTTCTAGTTAGGGAACAAGCTTGTTTCACATGTAAGTCCCTTCTCCCTCTCCCTCCCTTCACCCCCATCCCTCCTCCCCCACCCCCAGCCCACCCTTGAACA